GCTACTGCCACTAAACAAGGCTCTTGTGACTAACTCAAACTTTCCATCTTGAATATTTTCAAAATCGCTTTCAACTCTGCTTTCTTATAATATGTCACTTTGCTAAGTTATTTTTTTCTTTAGCATGATTTAAGAAATGAAAGCATGCTCCTAAAGTTTCCACCAGTTACTGATACTCATTACATTATCTTCCTATCCTTTTTTACAATGACTGTTACTTACTTAAATGAGTAACAGGCAAGGTTACTGTGTTGTGTGATAGCCTAAAGCCAGTCTTATGAGTCCCGCCCAATCAGCTGTGTCACCCAAACACCATAAATCAGTCAAAAATGTGACAGTGGCCCAGCCTTGGCTATTTAGTCCTAAAAATGGGTCTATAAAGTGGATGGAAAAGCACAGCCCTTCATCAACATCAAGAATTCCGGCAGCTACTGAATGAAATTCTCTAACACTGCCTGGCTGTAGAAGCCAGCTAAACTACTAACCCATGGCAGGCTGTTCAGAGATACTCCCTTTGCAAGGTCTTAAACCAACAATGATTCCAAATGAGAAAAATCTTCACCAGAGCCTCTCATGGTGAAGAAAACCTGAAAACATTTACACATGTTCCCCACATACATATATAAACAAACAAAAAAACACTATTTAGTAGCACTGTTTATATGCCACGTATAGACAAATGGAAGGACATGTGAAATTCACCTTATCTGGCCAGGCAATCCTGGCTGACTCTCCTGAGCAAATCTTTTTTTTTATATATAAATAATTTTATTAGAGATTACAAATAGAGAAGATAAAAACTAATACAGACTATTAAAATATAAGAAAAAAAGAAAGTGTGAAAAAGAGAAAGAGAGGAAAAAAAAAAAAGAAGTAACTTCCCCCATCTCTATCACATAAAATACAACATATATTCTTTTCACCTCGTATGTCATTTCTTAACTAAAAACAAAATTCAAAAACCTTGTAATTCATTCCTTATCATCAAAAGTCCAATAAATGTTACCAGATATAACTATTTATCTATTTTAACTTTGATCAAATAAGCCAACCCTGTATTCCTTCCCTGAACTTTTGACACTCTTGATTTTTAACCCCTTCAAAAAAAGTCCCAGAGCTTGAGTTCTTTTCAGTTTTTTGTCCCTTCTCTAGGAATCTTCCAAAACTTTAACAGACCTGATTTGTACATCCCATAAAAAACGTTTGTCCTTTTGTTTGTCACTTCTTAAAAAATTCTTCATATCTTTAACAGACCTCTTTTGTACA